AGGACGGTAGGAGAGTGGGAGAGCCGGCTGGATTGGAAGGAGAGAAGGAGAGCCAGCGAGGAAGATGATTGTTTATACGACATCCAAAACGACGACGTTTTGGAATATGCCCAAAACAATCAAAATGACATCGTTTTGATTAAAAAATTTAACACCCAGCTGTATCACTTGACACCACCAGACCCCTATTGCGTCCGCCACTAGATGGTTGGGTGGTGGCGATGGTGAGGTCGCGTCGATGGTAAGTCAAGATCTGCAATCTTTTTCTACTCTTTTTCTAACTTCTTTCTCATCATTCTTTCTTTGAGATCTAATGGTAGGGCTATGGCGATGATGGTGGGACTAGCGCAATTGTGGCGGAGGGGGCTGGTGGAGATGGTCGGAGAATGGATCGATGGTGGAGCTGGCGGCAACGACGGGGCTAGCGGCCAAGAGGGGAGAGGCTACGGTGGAGGCGGTGGTGGGGGGACTTGATGGTGGCAGGGCTGGGAAGGAAGGAGAAGGAGGGTATTTTGGACAAATTACACCCACAGTCAACTCTTCATAAAAATAAATAAAATTCAAAATGGGGAATTTATTCCCGAACGGAGAGAGTAGTAGGGGCAGAAGTGATTTTTTAACAGAAAAGGGAAAGATTTTATTGGATAAGAAAAAAGGGAAAATGGAAAGAGTTTTTGGAATGGAGGGAGTATAAATTGATGTTGAATTAACAAATTCATTCCATATAAGGTCCAAAAAAATAGAATATACTAAACTCTTAAGGTTTGATCCTTCTATTATTGAGTTAATTATAAGTTAGCAAGTTTTTATTAACTAAAGTTTTGAATTATAGAGGATACAATTTAATAATTTATTACCGATTATCCCCCGAACTCTTTGCAAATTGTGCGGTTTACTCCTAAACATTAAAAAGTGTACCAACTCTGAACAATTTAAAATATTGCACGGTTGGTCCCTTTTAATATATACCAAGAAAATAATATTAAAAATTAGTTGTAAAGACTAAAATTCCCTCTCATTTCTTCTCGGTGCATATTAAAAACCAGATCCACCGCGAATATGCACCGGCAACACTCTCTTCACTTGCTTCTCGGGCGCAGCATCCACAAACTCCCTATGATAGAAAAAAAAGATTCCGACGATGATGGGCCACCCGCCGGAAAGCCCACGGAGACTGAGGTATCCAACTTGAGCATATGCGAGGGGGGCACTTTAGACTTTACACATATTTTTTAATATTATTTGTTTGGTATATATTAAAAGGGGCTAATCGTGTAACGTTTTAAATTGTTTAGGGATATTTGGTACACTTTTTAATATTCATGGGTAAACCGTGTAGTTTCAAAGAGTTCAGGGGTAATCTGTGCATTTTTTCCACTCAAATTTACAGGGATGCAATGAGACTTTCTTAAAAGGTCATTGACGATACGGGGGTACTCTGGAGCAAGTATGATCTTCAATTCCTAAAGTTCTTTTAGAGGTGTCCAAAAATAAATCGTGAAGGCTTGATCTAAGGGTAAGGGTGAGAGTACGCGCAGTCCCAACAATAACATAGCTGCATTAATGATCACTTAAATCTTTTGTCTAATTTTGTCTTTTTGTAGTCAACTAGGATTGATCTTTGATATATAATTTAAAAAATAAGGTATATTAATTCTTTACTACTCGCTTCGTCTCGAAATAGATTACAATCATTTTTTCTCTTCTCTCGAGGACTTTTGTTTATTTGTGCGTTTTCATTTAGTAGTTAATAAAATAAAATATTCTTTTCACCTCTTATTTTGACATAGATTTTTAATGTGTAATTTTTATTTCTTATTAGTGATTTGATGTACCAAATTGTGAATAAAATGATTTTAAAAAGCGAGAAAGTTTGTCTCGTAACACCAAATTTGTAATCAAATTAAGAACGGAGAGAGTATAATATTTGAGACTCATGTGTCTAAGATGTTGACACGTGTCATCTTAAATGGAAAATTTTAAATAACATGGCACATGAATAAATTACATGGAATGCTTTAAATTCTCATTCATCATTTATAAAAAATTATTTGTGACAATCTTTAAAAATTGATGAGTTTGAAGCAATATATTTTATATTAAAAAATCATGGAGTTTTGAACTTATTGAAATTTATGTAAACGAAATAAAAATTATAAATTTTCAAAAAAAGTTAAATGAATTATTCATAAAAAAGAAACTAATCATGATTAACTCTCTCTTTTTCCATAAAAATTAAAAAGGTATTAAAAGTCTTTTGAATAAACTATACCTTTTTAAAATTCGTTAATCTATTCTTTTGTGTGGATATTTATTGAGCTAAAATATAGCTCATCATATCCATACTTTATTTAAAAAGACATGGATTTAAGAGATGATTTTCCGGCCCATGCATTATTGCATTAAAAATGGCAATTGTTCACTTAAAATAGTAATGACAAATGGCCAGGGGCGGACCCAGAACTTTTGAACCGTGGGGTCGAAATTTAGAAAATTTATATCCAATCAATAAATAAACAGTATTCTCTAATACATAACATTAAAGTTTATATATGTTATTGAAAATACTAACTAAAAATATTTCTACATTACAAATATGAAATACATCTTTGGATTCTCACTCAATTCTTTCTTTTTAAATCTTGGTGTTTTTTAAAATACCTTTGCATCCTATATGGAAATTTAAATAATTAAAAACAGTATAAACTTAAAACATAACCTAATTATATTAACATATTGACAAATCACAATCTTAAAAAAATAAACGAATTCAATTCCCTATTCTGCTATTCACAATAACAAATTTATAACAATAAATTAAAATTTTCATAATTTAAAAATAAAAAAAGAAATATCTAATTTAGATAATTAGATTCAATAATGTAAGAAAAAAATCTGGCAAAATAGAAATGGAAGATGAAGATTTGTTCGAGAAATTGGGGGTTTCATCTTCCAAAAAATAATATATACTCATTCCTTTGCATCCTATATTTGAAATTTAAACAATTAAAAATATTATAAACTTAAAACATAACCTAATTATATTAACATATTCACAAATCACAATCTTAAAAAAAATAAACGAATTCAATTCTCTATTTTGCTATTCACAATAACAAATTTATAACAATAAATTAAAATTTTCACAATTTACAAATAAAAAAAGAAATATTCAATTTAGATAATTAGATTCAATTATGAGAGAAAAAAATCAGGCAAAGTTGAAATGGAAGATGAAGATTTGTTCGAAAAAATCTGGCAAAGAAAAATGGAAGATGAAGATTTGTTCGAGAAATTGGGGGTGTCATCTTCCAAAAAATAATATATACTCATTCCTTTGCATCCTATATTGAAATTTAAACAATTAAAAACATTATAAACTTAAAACATAACCTAATTATATTAACATATTCACAAATTACAATCTTAAAAAATAAACAATTCAAATATGCAAGAAAAAAAGTCCGGCAAAATATAAATGAAAGATTTGAAGATTTGTTCTTTAAATTGGGGGTGTCGCCTTCCAAAAAAAATGCATACTCATATTTCTAAAGCAAGTTTCGAACTCAAGACCGCATGCCCCAATGCAGCACGCGGAGCATACCATCTTCACGGATGTGTGATAGGATGCGTTTGTTTTCGGGATCAGAAAATTTTCGCCATGGTGCAGCCGTCACTCTTTCCCATGGATGCTTATAGGTATGCTCTTGTGAATATGCTCTAACCATCTTCTTCGGCTTTCTTCCTTAGTTGTCTGAGAGGACAAAACACACAACACTTTAAAATTGTGAAAAATAAGAGAAACTTTAGAGGGAAGAATGTTTATTCTCATACGAACATCACGTCACACTTTCCAATATCAAGAGAGAATCTATTTCCCATTTTACATAAGTTCCCTCATCCATATTTAAATGATCCATAGGACTTCCCCCGTCCCAAAACAATGTGTCAAATATGACCGGGAACAGTTTTTAGTAAAGTATAAACTGTGGTTTAAATTAAGATGAGAGAGATGCACTGTGAACTGTTAGACAAGGCGTGCAACTCTAGAGGGGGGTGAATAGAGTTGTTGAGAATGTTTACCGATTTTCGCAGGATTAATAATATAAACGTAAGTGCAGCGGAAATAAAAGAGAGAAGGCAAAGAACACACCGATGTATACTGGTTCACCACCTCGTGGCTAGTCTAGTTCCCCGAGAGACTCTCTCGAAGCTACCACTACTTCCGTTAAGCTTACAGGTGCTTAACAAACCGTTTACAACTCGAGAACTTGAATCTCACAAGCCTCGACAAAACCGCTCGTAGATATTCCCTCTACAAGACTTCACAACCAAGACTTAAGTCACATAAGTCTTGAACAACAAGATTAACAATCTTCTTCAACCTCTCAACATAAACTCTCAAAAGAGTAGAAATGAGAAATGATTAAAGCTCTAATGGATGACAAGAAACCTCTCTTGAAAATATAATTTTCTCTCAAAATAATATAAATTTGAGCAAAGATTGATGGAGTGTAAGAAATGGGGTACAAATTCTTGGGGTACAAATAGCATTATCCATAAATGATTCCTACTTTTGATGTTCATATTTAGGTCTAGACCAAACTAGATTGTTAGGTCCAAACCAAATCCGAACTGAACACATATTGAGTCGGTCTTCGGTCCTGCATATTTAGATTTTTGGGTTTCAATTAGGTCCAGTCCATACCGACTGCTTTTCGGTCCGGACCGCATGGACCGACAATTCTAATTTATTTCTCAGTCCTTACTCCGTATATATTACCTCTCTTTGCACCTTTACAAATTAGACTTTTTTGAGTTGATAGAAATTAGGACTTTGAACAATTCTTATATATATATATATATATATATATATATATATATATATATATATATATATATATATATATATATATATATATATATATATATATAAAATATGTTTTTTTAAAAATAGAAAATAAAAAATAAAATATGAAAACACTAATAGAAGACATCTTCTAATTACAGAAAATATATTGTAAAACATAACGCATATTGGCTTAATTTTAAAGGAAGGGTTAATTTTAAAGGAAAATAGGAAGTCCTAGTGGCTGGGAATTTAAGAGAAATTGAAAAGCCTAAATACAAAGTCATACGGGAATAGTCATACTGGAATAGTGCTAGTCGCTAAGAATTCCGTCAAAATTGAAGGGTCTGGTCGGGTCAGCTAGCTTCCTAATTA